TCGTCAATCCATCCATCCTATTTTTATTTAGTTATCCATTCATTCACTCATCTACGAGTTAATGATTATACGAACGAATGAACGAGTGAACGAACAAACGAACGAATGAATGAGTGAATGAACGACCAAGTAAAAAATGAAAAAATTATAATTTACTATATAGATTGATTGTTTGAAAAGCAAATCGACTACCAAAACGAGTTCACGAAAAAATTGAGCACACTCAAAAATTGATTAAATTCTTTTTTGTTTTAATTAATAAAATTATTTTAATAAAAATATGTTAAAATGAATTTTCAAGTTAAAAAAATATACTGAAAAATTGTTAAAAACAAAAAATTAGTAATCATAAACAATCAAACATTGTTAGAAATTTTATTGGTCAATTTTGAGAGGTGTGGCACAACTCAAGAGCCAATAAAAATCAAGATAAAGCACTCAATCAATACGTCTCGGCCAATAAAATCTTGGTTTGATTTTCGAAGGCGTGGCTAACAAACATTGAAATTAATCTTAAAATGTCTTCGTTCATATCTATTCTATAATAATAACAATAACCAATATTATAATAGTAATAATATTATTTCATAATAAAAAAATGTCTTTCTTTTGAAAGAGTTTTATAAATTGAATTGAATGTAACATAGAAAAGAGTAGAAGAGATATTTAAATGAAGAAATAAATAAATATATAATTATAAATTATTTATAATAATATATACATTATAGAATACATGACACGTGAGTGTGTGCAAATGCTCAAAACGATTCATTGATATGTTGTAAGTAAATACAGTTATGCTTTTATATCACCTTGATTGGTCTGACATTTTTGCAGCAGCTTCAACAACCACACCACACTACCACAGTGCCAATACATCAACTACAACGACATCAACAGGACAATAGCAGCAATGACAACATCCAAATTACAACAGCAGTGACAGTAACAAAAAGTAACATCACACCAGGACAACATCAAAAACGAATGGATAGCATGCATTTAGCTGTTAACTTTACCGTAAAAAACAACAACCGAATACTTTTTCCAGGCTTACAACAACAGCCTCGTCAACAACATCAACAACAACATCAACAACAACAACATCGACAGCATCAGCAAAATCAACAAAAACAACATCAACACCGGCAACAAGTTTTTTTCGAACACGTGACCCTGAGCAACGGCCACCATGACGTAGTAGCAGCACGTGACATCAACGCTGACGTCATCATTGGGGAATTTATATACCAGAAAGAGATGATGAAGTTTTGGGAAGAAGATGCTGATGATGATGACGACGACGACGATGATGATGATGATGAGGATAATGACAATAACAACAGCATAAATTGTGACAGTGATTTCATTGAAGACGATGGTGGTCATGATGATGATCATGATGACGAAGCGAAAGATGGCGACAGTTCAAACAAGGTTCACGACCTAATTAATTTTCAATTTCTCGAATTTGACCTACTTGATGATTTCATTGGTTTACATCGCAATTTAAAGTCCATATTTTGTTTAGGTCACTTGCGATAAATACTTACCACACAATTGCATACACATACACACATACATACATATACATACACGGATATATAAACAAACACATAGATATACAAATCATTTGTTGGTATACGTAGAATGAATGAATAAATGAATGAATGAATGAATGAATGAGTGAGTGAGTGAGTGAATGAATGAATGAATGAATGAATGAATGAATGAATGAATGAATGAATGAATGAATGAATGAATGAATGAGTGAGTGAGTGAGTGAATGAATGAATGAATGAATGAATGAATGAATGAATGAGTGAATGAATGAATGAATGAATGAATGAATGAATGAATGAATGAATGAGTGAATGAATGAATGAATGAATGAATGAATGAATAAATGAATGAATGAATGAATGAATGAGTGAGTGAGTGAGTGAGTGAGTGAATGATTGAATGAATGAATGAATGAATGAATGAATGAATGAATGAATGAATGAATGAATGAATGAATGAATGAATGAATGAATGAATGAATGAATGAATGAATGAATAAATGAATGAATGAATGAATGAATGAATGAATAAATGAATGAATGAATGAATGAATGAGTGAGTGAGTGAATGAATGAATGAATGAATGAATGAATGAATGAATGAATGAATGAATGAATGAATGAATGAATGAATGAATGAATGAATGAATGAATGAATGAATGAATGAATGAATGAATGAATGAATGAATGAATGAAAGATAAAAGTAATGAACTGACAAATGAATAAGTGAAAATGGATAATGTGGATGATATATAACACCAGGTCATGATGTGATGAAGTCTTTGCATGATGTTTGATTAACATCATCATCATCACCACCACCACCATCATCATCATTACCGCCATCATCATCATTACCATCAGTAACATCATTATCATCATCCTTGTCTTATTCATTTTAATATTGTTTATTCTATTGTATAAATATAAGGACACCACACACAATATATATATATACATATATATATACATATATATATATATCTAATATATAATAAACCATAATAAAATGAACGTATATGCCATTGATTAAATTATAATTTATTATGCCTAGATGTTAATCTTGGTTGACTGTGTTTTGTTGGTGGTTTGATCAGCGCATGGCTTGAAAAGTCAATTCAATTTAATGACGTTGTGTATGTATATGTGTATGTTTGCATGTGTGTGTGTGTGTGTGTGTGTGTGTGTGTGTGTGTGTGTGTGTGTGTGTGTTTGTATATGTGTGAGTGTGTGTAAATGTTTATATGGGTGTGTGTATGTTTGTATGTGTGTGTGTCGTGTATGTGTGTATGTTATAAGCACTTGGGCCTTTGTATTTTTGTACGCAAGTTACGTCTGTGTGTCTGTTTGTAGAAGTTCTGGTGGTTAAGCAGTAGAAGCTGTTAAAGCAGCCAGCAGTATCAGTAGTAGCAGCGTTAGCAGTAGTAGTCGTAGCAGTAGTAGCAGTCGGAGTAGTAGCAGTGACAGTAGGGTTAGTAGTAGTAATTGTAGTAATAAATCGTAGAGTTTAGTGGATGTGTTGAATGATTGATCACCGTGCTAGCATTGTTCTCTGCGTCGAGCTGCTGTCACCTTTCTAAAGCGCTTCATTTCAATTTCTTATTTCAGTTCGGTGGATGTTTTAGTTTGTATAATGTAGTAATATGCGCATAAATGTGTCTGTCTGGCAGTTGTATTAAAATTATTTTCGTTGATATTGTTTTTGTTGTTAAACTAAAATTTATTTAGTTGTTGTTGTTGTTGTTTGATATTGGGTGTGTTGGTAAAACTACTACTACTGCTACTTATATTGGTAACTGTACAACAACAACAACATCAACAACTACTACTTCTACTATTACTACTACTACTACTACTACTGCTACTGCTACTAACTCAATTAATACCACTGACTGAAGTAACAACGGACCCACTAGTCAATTGTTAAAAATGATTTATTAAACTGTTTGTTTGGAAGAGTTATGAATGAATAAACGAATGAATGAACGAACGAACGAATGGATGAATGAACGAATTAATAAACGAATGAATGAAAGCATAAATAAATGAATGAACGAATAAATGAACGAATGGATGAACGAAGGAAGGAGTGAATGAGCGAACGTGACGTTTGAGTTTCACCTGTTACAGGTGTATGCTACGATTGATTGATTGGTCGGTTGGGTGAGCACTTGATTGGTTGAATGATTAGCTGGTTGATTGATTATCCAACCAGTTGTTGCAAGAATGGTCGATAAGTTATTTTATTAGTTTTAATGAGTTAAAAGATTAAATGGATTTTATATTTTTCTGAAACTATTTTTAAAATTTAAAATTAATATTTTTATTTCGATTGAAATAATTTTTCACAACTGACAGATATTTTCAAATTTGAATCAAAAATCAACGTCTAAAACGGCTAAAAAATTTAAACCATCCAATCAGAAGACGTCATTTAACATCTGCTCTCTTATTGGCCAAAAACCGGCCAAAGAAAAACAAAGAAAACGAGTACCTCACAGGCCACACAATTACATTCTCCCGGCAACAGATTGTTGCAATCAAAATGTTGCTATAATTTTTTTCAGCAACACCAACAACAACAACAACAAAATTATGTTAATGAAAACCACTAAATTTATTCATAAAGATGAGAGGCTTAGGGCCTGGTTCACTTCTGATTTGGCGGTATTTTTAGGTATTCAATTTCTTCAGCCAATCAACGTCAAAGACCGCAATTGCTACCGGTGTCATATTTGCGGCAAATGTTTTCAATATCCTAACCCACTGAAAGCCCACCTTTATCTCAGACACAACAACAACAACAACAACAACAGCAACAACAACAGCAACAACAACAACAGCAGCAGCAACAACAGCAGCAACAACAATCACAACATCATCGAAATAAGAGATAGAAGTAGCATAGCAAACATTCCAGATCTCAATTGTTGTACAAACTTATATCCCCATCAGCTACACACAACAACACATCAACGAAATCACTGCACAAACTTGTTACCGGCCTTCGATTCAACATTCAACAACTTCATACAACAGCAACATCAACAACCACTACAGCAGCAACAACCACAGCAACAACAACAACAGCAGCAGCAACAATGTTTTTTTAATCACCAACAGTATTTTCCTTATCGTCATCCTTTCGTCACTTTTATATATCCATCTTCCCAACATCATCTTCAACAAATTCATCAAAAACATCAACTACAACATCAAATACATCAACAACAACATCAGCAACATCAGCAGCAACACCAGCAGCAACATCAAATACCTCAACAACAACATCAGCAACAACAAAATCTACATCCAAAGCAACAAGTTCACGAAAACATTTTTAATGATTTCATGCTAAACAGAAATCTCGCGCAAAACATGTGGGAAGGTAGAAACAATTTTGAAAACCTCATCAACAACAACAACATCAACAACATCAACAACAGCACCAAATCAACTTCACCACAACAACTTTCCCCATCCTCAAATTCAAATACGAACGACGACAACTTAGATAAAAACGACGACGATTCGACCACCACAACTAACAACAACAACAACAGCGCAACGAACTTGCTTTCTACAACAACAACTAACACAAAAAACCATTTTAAACAACAACAATATCATCTGCTCCAAAGACAAGATCATTACCATCAACAACAACATCATCATTCTCATCGTCATCCTCACCATCACCAACAACAAAATCAACAGGATGAAATCAGCCCACTACAAAAAATCCTCTACAAAGACGGTCAAAAAACGAGGCAGGGCTACATGTGCAGCTACTGTGGCAAGTTCTACTCGAGGAAGTACGGCCTGAAGATTCACGTACGAACCCACACCGGGTTCAAACCCCTGAAGTGCCGCATCTGCCAGAGGGCGTTCGGCGACCCCAGCAACCTCAACAAACACGTTCGATTGCACTCTGAAGCTAAGACGCCCTACAGTTGCGGCGAGTGCGGCAAGTTGCTCGTTAGACGGAGAGATCTGGAGAGGCACGTCAAATCTAGACATCCTTCTGTTCATCATCATTTATGTACCACTGTTGCTGCTGCTGCTACTTTTACTGATGTTACTGTCGCTACTTCTACTACCACTACTGCTGCTGCAACAATTACTACTACAACTACAGCTACTGGTGATGGTCGTTGTCATTATGTTGAGGATGATGTTGAGGGTGGCGACCAGGACTGTGTGACGTCATCCATCAATGAACCAATAGAAATGAAGGATGATTATTTCAGTGCTGCAGCCGATGATGACGATGACGATGATGATGGAGTTGGTGGTGTTGATAGTGATTATATTGAAGACGATGGAGGGAAGGTGAGACAGAACAAAAAATGAAAAAAGAGGCGGTGATGATGATTAGTTGAATATGTTTCTACAGTGGCTAAGAATGATTCGGTGGGTGGGTACTATCACTATCACCCGGACCATCATCTTCGTCGTCGTCATCGTCATCTTATTGTTGAACCGTTTTGTATCATTGGTCTATTTGGTTTGATATGTTTAATTTATAAATTAGTTATTGAAACTACTGGATAAATAAATGATTGAATGAATGAATTATGCAATCTATAAATGAACAATGAATGAATGAATAAGCGAACGAACGAACGAACGAACGAAAAATGAACGAATAATTGAATTCGTGAATAAACAAATGAATGAATGAATGAAAGAATAAATAAACAGATGGAAGAATGAACGAGTGGAAGAACAAATATTTGAATAAGTAAATAACTGAGAACGAGAGAATGAAAAATAAAGGAATAAAAAATGAAGAAAGTGAATGAATGACAATTATTTAACTCAAGTCATTACGCCATATATATTATGTATATGTTTGTTTGTATGTATGTATGTACGTATGTTTGTTTGTTTGTATGTATGTATGTATGACTATATATGTATGTATGTATATGTGTGTGTACGTACATATTTGACTGATTAGCGTTGAAGACTTTGTAAGATTGGCAGAAAGCTTTATCTGGCTGTTTATGTAAAGAATGCCGTAATTATGTGCTGTTGTTGTTGTTATAATTATAAATAATTATAATTATTATTATTATTGTTGTTGTTGTTTTTATTGTTTTCGTTATTGTTGAAATTATTGTATTTCTACACAGTACTAATTAAAATTAAAAGGATCTGTAAGCTAGTATTGATATTTCTACTTGTTAAACGGTTAAGAATATTTGAATAATATCATAATAATAACAACAATAATAATAATGTTATTATTATTATTATTATTAATTATATTAATAATGGCGACAAATTATCTATCACCAAGTCAGTATTATATTTATAAACTTCTTTAAGAATTCAAACATTAACACATGCATACTAACACACACAGAAAAAGACATACATACATACATACATACATACATACATACATACATACATACATACATACATACATACATACATACATACATACATACATGCATACATACATACATACATACATACATACATACATACATACATACATACATACATACACACACACACACACACACACACACACACACACACAAACACAAACATACAAACAAGTTTTTTTACGTGTAGGATTATGGGTAGGATATGAATGTTGAACACATATTTATTAAATTTTGTTTTTAAAATTATTTGCAATGATGATGAAGATAAAATAAAAGTTGTAACAATAATAAGAATAGTAAGAATAAGGATGACGATGATGAAAATGATGATGATGAAAATGATGATGGTGAATATGATGATGGTGAATATGATGATGGTGAATATGATATTCGTCTTTTAACCAACGATTGAATAAGCAATGCCCTCCTGATAATTATTATTTTGTACATTACTTCATTTTTTTTGTATTATTATCATTAACTATAATAATAATTAGTAATTATTATTATTGTTATTATTATTATTATTATTATTGTTGTTAATATAATAATTATTATTATTAACTATAGATATTGTTCATTAAAGTCAATCAAATAAATCCAATATTCGTCTGCGCTCTCTTTTTTGTGTTTGCTCACCCGCTTTTATTTTTAAAAATATAAGAATTACTATTACTACTGCTACTACTATCAATATTACTACTGCTACTACTACCAATATTACTGCTGCTACTACTTCTTCTACTACTACTTTTACTACTACATACCTCTGCTGCCAGTTTTATTGCTACAACTGCTGCTTCTGTGGCTGCTATTGCTGCTGCTACCACTTTTTCTTCTACTCTACCTTCTTTCCTCTCACTCTACCCTTTCCCCTCTGTTCTCAATTACTCTCTCGTTCATTTTTTATCTTCCTTTCTTTTGATCGCTCTCTCTTTATTTATTTTCCGTTTTTTTCTCCGTTTGTCTTTGTTCCTCCCTCCCTCTTCTCTCTCTCTCTTTCTCTCTCTCATAAATCTCAACTTTTTTTTAAAAAAGAATTCATTCAATTAGACGATTCATAGATAGGCCAGCGTGAGTGGTTGGTTAAGGTGGCCTGTCGCTGCTGTGCTTCGCAGTGACCGCATTCGACTGGGGTATTGCAAAATGTTGCTCACCTATCACAGGCTTGTGTTCATATTACGATGAAGGGGATATGCAAAGAATCTCAATTTTTTCAACTTTTAATTATTTTCGGTAATGTCGATTTATTTTTTAAATTTATACCAAATAAAAATAATTAATTACCAAATTGAATAACAATTAAAAAAAATTAAAATTTTAACATTTTAAATGAAAGCAATATTCCGTAATTAGTAAATATACGATCGTATCTTTTGACCATGTAACTTTTGACCATTCGAGTCAAAATTAACGATCGTATGTTTATTTCGGAATATTGCTTTTATTTAAAATGTTTTAAAAGGTTTTAAATTTAAATTTTTTTAAGTATTATTCAGTGTGGTAATTAATTTCTTTTATTTGGTATAAATTTAAAAGAATAAAATCCCCTTGCTTTTGACTCGAACGATAAAAAATCACCTCCAACTCCCCTCCGGAAGTAAGCTCCTTGTTCGACCGTTAAAAGTGAGCGAAGGCCGTTATATTTATTCTAGTTATATATATGTATCAGTATCTTTTTAAACAAAGTAGTATCATAAAATGAATAAAGATACTTTTTTCAAAAATTTAAAAAATTCTCAATTTGATTTTATTGCGATATCGATGATGATGATTGTGACCTGACTAATTAAAAAACATCAAATAAAATTTATAAAATAGGATGGGTATATCGTTGCGAAATCGTTAGGGGGAAATGACGTCATGTTAACTGTAGTTATTTTACTGGATGGTGGTTAATCAGCCTGTATAAAGGTAATATTCAATTCCTATCAAATAAATTTGACCATTTAACTAGAATAAATTATCAAATATCATACGCAGGCAAAACTAAATAAAGAAATATATATATATATATATATATGTGTGTGTGTGTGTGTGTGTTGTGTGTGTGTGTGTGTGTGTGTGTGTTTATAATACATTTATAATATTGTATTTACACATTCAAATTGAACAGTTTTGTTAAATTTAAATTATTTTGAATTTTCTCGGAAAAATTTAAACTTTTTACTATATATATATATATTAGTTACTTTTATCAACAATTTTTAAAAAATTTTCAATTTGATTTCACCGCGATATCGATGATGATGATTGTGACCTGACTGATTAAAAGCATCAATGACAATTTTTAAAATAGGATGGAGAATTTGTTATATTGGGATATTCGTATATAAAGCGAGCAAAATTTTAATATAAAAGCGCTTATAAATCTGCGCATATTGGCTCGGCTTGGCTTGGCTCGGCTTGGCTCGGCTTGGAATCGGATGTTAAGCAAGGTGTGGTCTCAAACTATTTTGAATTCTCCCAGAAAAATTTGAACTGCGTGCGTACATATATAGCACTGATTACTATTGCTTTTATAATGAATTTATATATATTATAAAGTAACTAGAATCCAAGTATACAAATATATAATAAGATTATATGTTTATATAAAAAGCAATATAGCAGATTTAACCAGCCAATCAGAAAGTTTCGAAGGCGTCAATTTAGTATGGTTAGCATTGTGGTTAAGACTGTATAATAGTGTAGTACATACTTCAAATAAGTTTTTTACTGATGTGATTGATTGAAATGATGAGAATGTATGGTTGAAACGAGTATAAAAAGGAGCTGAGACAACATGAAAATCAGATCAGGCATTCTGCCTCGCTTGAAGCAGTCTGTCTGATCTCATTTATTTTATTTTTATATTATTTTTTATTTTTATTTATTTTATTATATAGAGTTTGCATGTCTGTGGTTTGTGTGTTTGTATGTTGTATTTTTTTTATTTTAGGTTGGTTCTATAGCGGTTGCTCATACATAAATACATCATGTTTGTTTGTATGGTAGTATTTTATGTTCAGTTTTACTATTTTTCTCTTTTTTCATGAGTCTTGAGTTAAGTTAATGAAACATAGGTAGGTGAGATTAAAAATTAATTTATTATATAGGTAGGCTAGGGCATAAGGTAATTTAGTTACATAGGTAGGTTAGGGACTTCTATTCTTTTACTCTACTCGGTGGTGTGTTTTTTGTTTTGTTTTATTTTGTTTTGTTTCACACCATACATATAACAGGTACGCGGTGGTTCCTGGTTTTGGTGGAATTTTTATTGATTGAATGGAGAAGTATGCATGGTTATATAGAGTTATATAGAGTTATATAGAGTTATATAGAGTTATATAGAGTTATATAGAGTTATATAGAGTTATATAGAGTTATATAGAGTTATATAGAGTTATATAGAGTTATATAGAGTTATATAGAGTTATATAGAGTTATATAGAGTTATATAGAGTTATATAGAGTTATATAGAGTTATATAGAGTTATATAGAGTTATATAGAGTTATATAGAGTTATATAGAGTTATATAGAGTTATATAGAGTTATATAGAGTTATATAGAGTTATATAGAGTTATATAGAGTTATATAGAGTTATATAGAGTTATATAGAGTTATATAGAGTTATATAGAGTTATATAGAGTTATATAGAGTTATATAGAGTTATATAGAGTTATATAGAGTTATATAGACTGGTCGATTTCTTTGCGTTTCTCTATTTCATTTTAATTAATTAAATAAGATTTTTCCATTCATTTAGGTTCATTCAGATTTATTCATCCAGGTTGAAGCTTCCAGAGGAGTTCATGGTGGATGATCAGAATGGTTGTGATGTCACGCTACGTTCGTTCAATCAGTGGTAAAGAATGCACGCCTTGCTGTGGTTCGTTTTACGTTTCTTTGCGGTTCCTTTTTTGCCAGTTGGCTGGCTTTTCTGGCTGGCGGGTTTCACCGCGGCTCGTTTCTCTATTTTCATTTAAATTAATTAAATAAATGAGATTTTTTCATTTTATTCAGGTTGAAGCTTCCAGAGGAGTTCATCAGCGAAGATGTCAGGCTACGTTCATTCATTCAGTGGCAAAGAATACACGCCTGGCTGGGATACGTTTTATTCTCTTTTCTCAGTTTTTCTCTGTAATTTAATATTAAGTAAGAATGCTCACACGCACGCACGCACGCACACACAATTACATTAAGTAGCCATATAGGTAGGTTAGATAGGCATAATTTTAATTGTAGGTAGGATATATAGGAAGCATCCAACACTAATGTATTTGAATAGGTAGGCGCGTAAGTTTATCGTTTCTATTTTTTTCTTGCACCCATATTACACGCATCAGCGTATTACACACACACACACAGATACATACATAAACATATGTTAGTATTTGAGAGTAATTTTATTTTCATTACACATTCTAATTTATTATTACTAAGGTTGAGAGTAATTTAATTTCATAGGTAGTTAAGGGCAATAATGTAATTCTAGGAACAATCTTGTAATGTAAATTAAAACGCTGTAAGTCTATCGATAGGTAGGTTAAGTATAAGTTTTACATTATAATTATTATGTTGGAGCCCAAGGCATTACGTAGGTGGTGGGGTGGGTGCCGAAAGGCCAATGAATTGGGCTCTTGAGTTTTGTAATTTTAGGTAAGCTAGGGCCATAATGTAATGAATAGGTAAGTTAAGGCTACGTTGTAACATACTCATTAATAGATTTAGGGTTTAAGTTTTATATTATTATTACTAAGTTGGAGCCCAAGGCATTACGTAGGTGGTGGGGTGGGTGCCGAAAGGCCAATGAATTGGGCTCTTGAGTTTTGTAATTTTAGGTAAGCTAGGGCTTAATTGTATTAAATAGGTAAGTTGAGGGTACGATAGCCGATAGACTCTGAATTTCGAAGTTTCTTGTCAGAGGTAAGCCTTGGTGGCCAGTGGTGAACCGGCAATGGTTTACTATCCGGACGGCAATGGTTTACTATCTGCACTGTAATGATTTACTATGCGGCATGGCCATAGTCTACTACCCGCACGGCTTCCGGACGGCAAATGGTTTACTATCCGCACGGCAATAGTCTACTATCCGCACGGCAATGGTTTTCTATCCGGTGCCCTGGCTGTCGGTGAACCTCTGTGCAAGGAGGGAGAATGAAGGGGGACTTTCGACTACCGTACCATTAACAATTTAGTATAGATAAGGTAATTGAATAGGTAGATAGGATTATTTTTATTAAGCAATTTGAGATGCAGGCACCGCTAAGCTTTCTGATGAGAATTTTCTCTTTATCTTTCTCCATTCCACGGGCTGTGTTTCTCGGGGGACTTGCACCAGTTTTGGAGGACAACGTAGGAACCGGACCGCATTCAACATTCTGCCTTTGTCGAATGGACAACAGTAAGTTTTTTTTTACATTTTACTCTCTTTGTTATTTTAAAATACTATTTTGTCATTATTTTCATTTTAAAATTTTTTGCTTTTCAGATTCTAACATTCATTTACTACTACGCTGATAAAAAAATTTTATCTACAGAATGATGAGAGGTGGGCAGAGGTGGGAGTCAGCACGTTTCCGATGGTGGTCTCATGATGATTTACATTTGATGATGGTGGTGTAGGAAGAATCAGCTCGTTGGCTGTTCGACTGACACTCTGAAGTTCGGATGACATCTTGTGGTGGTGGTCGGTGCAACGGAGTACAGTAACGACGATTTTTGAAGTAAGGTTTAGTTTCGTCTTTTAATTGTTCTCATTTATTCATTCGTTCGTTCGTTCGTTCATTCCTTCATTCATTTTATCACTCAATTTTTCAAATTATTAATTTTTAATCATTGAATCATTTGATTGATTACTTAATTAATTAATTCATTCACTCAGCCATTCAACATTCTGCCTTTGTCGAATGGACGAAAGTAAGGTTTTTTTACATTTTAATCTCTTTATTATTTTAAAATATTATTTATTTGCCACTATTTTCATTTTATAATTTTTTCTTCTAAGATTCTAACATTCATTTACTACTACGCTAATAAAAAAATTTGTCTACAGAATGCTGAGAGGCGGGTTGTGGTGGGCGTCAGCACGTATCAGATGATGGTCTCATGATGATCGTTCCGATGACAATTTGAAGATGACAATAAGAAGTGACTGGAGAGTACACGCGCACACATTTACGCACATACATCAATACAACACACACATACACAACATCCATTCATTCGGTGTCGTTGTTATGTTTCTCTTCAACTTTCTATTTTCTTTACCGGACTTAATTTAATTCATAGGTAAGTTAGGGATTGAGATGAGTTGAACAATCGTAGGTAGGCTAGGGCTTAACATTAGTTAAAAAGTTTCAAGTAAAATAAAAACGCTATAATATGTTAAATAAAATACCTGAAACGTGTAAAATTTCTAAAACGTAGAAATACAAATTTTTAGGTAAGTGAGTTGAGTTAATGATTATAAGCTAGGGCCCTGAGAGTAATTTAATTGTAGGTAGGTGACTGACTACTATTCTTGCGACTTCTTACTAGTTTTGTGTGATGTGTTTGTTTTCGCTTCACAACAGCACACCAACAAAACAAACTATATTTCATTCTCGTCGTCGCCTTAAATTTTACCTTTTTGAACAATCTTTTTAAATATGTTTATTTATTTATTTATTAAATGTTGACTGGTTTCTAGTTTTTTTTAAATTTGGTTATATAATTTTTAGAAAATTCTTGATTTACTTTGTATATATGCATGTATAAATAATTTCTGTTTGGTATGTTGATTTAGTCATTATGACATGCTGTGAACTGTTCTGACTAAATGTTATTGTTACGTGAATCATTCTCCGAGAACTACTATGGAGTGTGTATAATAATAATAATAATAATAATGGATAATAATTATTTTTTATCGGTCGATATTTTGTTATATTTGTTTGTTTGAAATTCGAATTTTTTTTAAAATTGTTGTTTTCGTAATTTTAATTAACCATCATTTTTTATTTTTGAATGAATTCAAATATAAGCAACTAACTATTGTGTTTTTCATTCTTTACTAAAATCTAGAAATTGTTTGTAGATCTGTTTGGTTAAGTGTTTGTTCGAGTTTTTTTTTTTTTCGTTTTTATCAATTCATTCGTTTGTTTGGTTCATTTAATTTGGTTCATTGATTGGTTGATTGGTTGGTTGATTAGTTAATTGAATAAATGGTTGATTGGTTGATTGATTGATTGATTGATTGATTGATTGATTGATTGATTGATTGATTGATTGATTGATTGATTGATTGATTGATTGATTGATTGATTGATTGATTGATTGATTGATTGATTGATTGATTGATTGATTGATTGATTGATTGATTGATTGATTGATTGATTGATTGATTGATTGATTGATTGATTGATTGATTGATTGATTGATTGATTGATTGATTGATTGATTGATTGATTGATTGATTGATTGATTGATTGATTGATTGATCTCATAGTATTGTATATATGAAAAAAAATCCAATTAAGCCAACATACGGCTTTACTTGGGCACTGTGTTTCACCAGACAAAAGCAATTTCTTTATTTATATTGACAAAAATAATTGTGAAATGAATATATTGATTTATTTAAAGCATTATAAATACAGAAAACCGTCATGACACAGTTGCATGAGACCCAGTAAGCCACTGCAGTAAGCCAATGTATGATTCCAGCAACCAGTTTCTATGAGCACCAGCAGAATGTAAAAGATTCATTGGCTTGACACCGACTTATATATCTATGATTCGCCTTTAATAGAGCACATTTTCAAATCGTCTCGTTTCTTTGGTGAACAGGGTCGATATATAAAGTAGTATCTTTTTTTGTTCTAAAGTATGTTTTATCGATTTTTTAGCGAAATTTAGTTTAAATTTTTTTAAATTTTAGCAATAAATAATTCAATCAAATTATTTTTTCAAATTGTCTCTTGGTAATTCTGAAAAATTTCTCAAATAATGTTTAAGTTGTCACATGTTTTTTGCTCTGCTGTTCTTCTACTCTTTTATTAACTATTTGTTTCTAGATTGACTTGTCTGATCAACATTAAGTTAATGTCATTAACCAACTCAAAGTTTATACCAAACATCATTTCAAACTTAGAATTATTTAACGTTAGCTGACAAATGTTTGCTAGCTTTTCACAAGTATGGATCGAATCTTCTCCACTCATAATCCTAATTCTCTTTTTTTAGTTAGAATCAATCAATAGATCGAATCAAAAGTTCTTAGACAAACACTTTTTCAATCAACCAGAAATTTCTGGACAGACCCACTCAACACTTAACCTTGATAAACCAGATTTGATTGGGTTGAGTGTTGAGTGTTAACTTAATAACAAGAAGACTTATAATTCTATTCTGTTATTAATTATTATGTTTATATTATTCTATACACATACAAAGATTTATAGTTATATATGTGCATACATATACATATAGAATAGATAGATAATACATATGTTAGGATATATTATAATTACAGCACGTACTCATCTGTTACAATCATAATAGAATAGATGTAATAATTATTATATAATAATCATATAAAATTATAGTATTTTGTCTATTATAACATACTTTTACCTGCAAATGTTGTGAAAAATTTTAGAATCGTTGGAAAAATGGCTGACAGGAAGGGACAGGAAGAAGATTGTTCAGAGCCCAAAGTTTCTAGGCTGTCAACACTGGAACAACTCAGGAAATACACTGTTGTGGTTGCAGATACTGGCGACTTCGAATGTAAATAAAAGTTTTTTATGTCGTAATTTTTTTATATTATCATTATTTTATGTTTTAATTTATTTAAAATATCATTATTTATTATCAAAACTGTTCAGCACTAAAAAAATACCAGCCCACTGATGCTACGACCAACCCATCGCTGATTCTGCAAGCCTCTCAGAAACCCCAATACGCCAAACTGATCGACCAGGCAGTCAAATATGCTCTCAATAAATCAGGGTACTGCACCTACTTACCTACCAACCTACCTTTATTATTTAGTTTTGTGTTGTGTTGTTTGTATTAGTTTGTGTGTGTTTTATTATTCTGAATAACAATCAGATTGTGATTACATAAGGCTTACATACATACAGATCATACATGCACTTACATCATTATATATAGACACAAACATACAAGCATGCATACATGCATACACACACCTACATTCACATATATATATATATGTGTGTGCGTGTGTGTGTGTGTTCATACTAACAGACAAATGCAGTGCTGCCGTTAGCACACTTTAAAATGGCACATGGCTCTGAATACAAAGACACAGACACACATACAGACAGACGCACACACTCACACACAAGAGAGAAAATATTTGTTGCAGAACTTCAGACGACAGCAGCCCACAATCACTGGAGAGGGTGGTTGAGTTATCGATGGAAAAGTTGTGTGTGTTGTTTGGCTGTGAAATTCTAAAAATCATCCCAGGCCGAGTTTCAACTGAAGTCGATGCAAGGTCATTTCTATTTCTATCATGAATTAATTAATTAATTAAAGAAAAGAATGGATAAATGAATGAAAATATCAATCTTCGTTTTGCGTCCAGAGACCCAGTTTCTCTGGAATGAAATGAATAAATGAATGAAAATATGCATGAAAGAATGAATGAATGATAATGTGTTGTTTCATACCATAGTCCACATTAACATAACATGAATATTAATTACCATAATCCTGATCATCAATCATTTTAATTCCAAATGCTCCAGGCTCTCATTTGACATGGAAGGGATGGTCGAAAAGGGTTTGCAGCTGATAAGTTTGTACAAGGAGCATGGTATTTCAAGAGATAGAGTTCTCATCAAACTGGCCTCGACATGGGAAGGCATTGAAGCTGGCAGGTGCCTGCATTTTGTTTCTTTTCTACCAAATTTTATGGGCTGTTTTTTCGATTTTAGATTTACTTCCTTAATGTAATGATTGCCTGCACTTTTGATGTATTTTTGAAGTATTATTTGAGGTATTGCTGATATGTTTCGCGTAGTTTGGTTTAAGGATTTGATAATGTTCAAACCAAATGGTTAGTTCGTTTCGGAGAGTTAATGTTTTTCATTTTGAAGTTGGATAAATGATGAATTTTTTATTATTTATTTACTTAACTGATCATATTATTGAAAATTTATTTATTTAATAATTTAATTTATAGAATATTAGAGAAGGAACACGGTATCCATTGTAACTTGACGCTGTTGTTTTCATTCTGTCAGGTTGTTTGCTCGTTTGTTTGTATGTATGTGTGTGTTTGTTTGTATGTGTGTGTGTGTTTGTATGTGTGTTTGTTCGTGTGTGTGTGTGAATAATAAATATCATAGTTAATTGTGTATCTAAATAATGGCTGGTGTTTTAATGTTATAAATCTCCAGTTGTAAATGACTTTAATGTCATCTTTGTGACTATTATTTTATAAAATTTTCTTACTTTTTTCTGAAAATGTTCCATGTAAAATTATATAAAATACTGAAAATTAGTATTTTCATAGTAAATAATTGAATAATATAAATAAATAAATGAATGAATGAGGTGAATTCTGATTGGTTGTTGGCAGGCAGTGGCCTGTGCCGAAGCTGGTGTGGCCCTGATATCCCCCTTCGTCGGCAGAATTTTGGACTGGTACATGCAGAACACCGATAAGAAATCATTTGACCCACTCGAAGACCCTGGCTAGTTTAATTATATTATAATTAATTACTCCGAGTAATTATTAAAATTACATCGTAAATGTTAATTAATTATTAATTAATTACCTATAATAATGGTTATAAATGAATTTTTTTGGACGTTTCAATGATTGCAGGTGTGAAATCAGTGACAGCCATTTACAATTACTACAAGAAATTCGACTACGGGACTGTCGTCATGGCCGCCTCATTTAGAAACGTCGAACACATCAAAGCCTTAGCTGGCTGCGATCTCTTCACTATAAGGTTGGTAAGTTTCACCGTGACCTTGTTCGAATGCAGAGAGATTCTTGTCTGTTGCATGCTGTTGGATGTTTATGTTGGCAGTTGAGTTGGTGATGATGGTTGATCATTATAGCGATGGCTGGGATGATTGTTCCTACTAAATCGCTCACTCACTCACCAAACAGTCCCGCCCTGCTGGAAGAATTATCGTCATCTGAAAAACCTGTCAGTCAGTATCTGAGCATTGAAAAAGGTTGTTCTGTCGGTGTTAGCTTTCTCTCTCTCTCTCTCTCTTTCTCTCTCTCTCTCTCTTTCTCTCTCTCTCTCTCTCACTCACTCACTCACTCATCATGTCATTAACACATATCTCTTTCCTTAACTTTTTTCCTCATACTCATTCACCTCCCCACGCGTTTTTATTATCCTTTGAAACATCAGAATCTGACAGTTGCTGAAACTGTTACAGCATGCAAGGCAGGCAGTTGTATAGAACGGTAACGAGGGATAAATGACTGAGTAAGAATGCTCCTAAGCATGGATTATAAGATTATGACCTCAAGAAACGAATGTGGATTAGGTAGATTAATTAATTGAACAGTTAATGACTTGGTGAGTGAGTTATGCCCTCGTTGGAGAAAAAGAATAAAATAAATTAAACTGAGCAAGTGACAAAATTTTCTAGTGTTAAAAATCATCACAATCTGACCTCATCATCATCATCTGACCTCATCATCATCATCTGACCACACCATCATCATCATCTGACCTCACCATCATCATCATCTGACCTCACCATCTCGCCGCACCTTCACCATTATTGAAAAACAGCCAAGAGTGAGGATTCCGTGGTGAGGGTGAAGATGGACGAGAAGACATTCAGGTGGATGCTAAATGATGACGTCATGGCCAGCGATAAACTTGCAGATGGCATCCGGAAGTTCGCAGCAGATGCTGTCAAACTGGAGAACATTTTGAGGGAGAAGATTCTTGCTTGCATGAAAATGAAGGAATGAAATAATTGATGGATGGATCATTCGTTCATGCACTCATTCATTCATTCGTTCGTTCGTTGATTCATTTATTAAATGATTTTGATAAGTGAACATTTTGAAAATATGAAATGATTGATGGATAGGTGGATGGTGTACACTCATTCATTTATTCATTCGTTCCTTCTTTCATTCAGTGATTGAATATGTGTGAATTGATGATTTGAAGAATGATTTGATTGATGGTTTATAATGAATGCATGATTTTTATTTAAAACAATTAGGTATTATTGCATTCATTCATTATTTTTTAACTGCTGATCCATCCATTCACTTCTGATTGATTAATGAACTGATTGATTGACTGGTTGATTGATTGACTGACTGGTTGATCGATTGAGTGAGTGATTGATTTCTTTTTTTATCCTAATCTTAATAATAAAAAATGAATTCAAGCATATTCAAATTGCGTTTGGTTTTTAATGCGTAATAATACGCTTTGTCACTGGTAGTTGTAGATTTTCTTGCCAAGAAATCGTCATCCAGTTTTTTAACGTTTTAAGAGCGGGAGCTCGAGCCGTGAAAACGAGAATTGCAACAGCAACACACTGCCAGCAGTTTTTAGAATTTGGGTGGACTGGACTGAACTGTGCTTTTGAAGTTATTGCAACATTTTTGAAATGAGTTTTTATTCATTTTTTTTAAACAATTAATTTTATTATTCTACAAGGTGTTTGTACTTTCATCAGTCGTGCCCTGTTTATTCATTTTTGTTGATAAAATAAAATTTCGTTTCGTTTCGTGACGTTTCGTAATACTAATAATTCTTCTAGTGTACTAAACAAAATAAATGCCTAAGTAGCAGTTGTAAATAATAGATGGAGGTTGTAAAGATGATGATGATGATAATCGTGAAGCTGCTACTGCCGCTGCCGCTGCTACTTCTTCCGCTGCTGCTGATTGTTGCAATGTGATGATGATTGTGGTGAGGATGATGATGTTGATGACGATGCTAGCGTTCTATATAAACATCTGTTTGGCTTGCGTGTTAAGGTGACTCGATAGATTTTATTATTATTGTAGTTGTTATTATTATTGTTAATGTTGTTGTTTATTTTGAATTTTTACAGTAAGGTTTCTTTGAGGTGTTCATTGCTCCAAAAAATGAAGGTGATGGTAACGATAGTGATGGTAATGATAATAGTAATAATAAAAAAAATAATAAAAATAATAATAACGATAGGGATGACGAATTAGAACAAGTTTGTTTACATCACGTAGGCTTTCAATAAAATCACGTGATGATGACGACGACGAAGGCCGTGATGATGATGATTAAGATGGTGATGGTTATGATTAAGATGGTGATGGTTATGATTAAGATGGTGATGGTTATGATTAAGATGGTGATGGTTATGATTAAGATGGTGATGGTTATGATTAAGATGGTGATGGTTATGATTAAGATGGTGATGGTTATGATTAAGATGGTGATGGTTATGATTAAGATGATGAGAATGGCGATGATGGTGTTGATGTGAGATATTGAGTTAGTTGTGCGTGCAATTATGTGTGATTGTGTGTGTGTGTGTGTGTGTGTGTGAAAGAAAGAAAAAAAATCAAAGTGAGAGAAAGATGAGAGAGAGAGTGAAATAAAATGTTTGTATAATAGTTTTGCGCATTATAAATTCTACTATCGTCGTCGTCATCATCGCTTCATTTAATAAAAAATCTCTTTCATCAAAGTTATTGCTACTTGTGTGTTTGTTTGTTTCCTCATCATCATCGTCGTCATCATCATCGTCGTCATCATCATCGTCGTCATCTTCATCGTCGTCTTCATCATCATTACAACCATATATTACTAATATTATCTTCATCACTTTGAATAAATATTAATATCACATTCAAAGTAATTACGTCATATCGTTACATTCGTCGTTACGTTACAATTCATCTTGATTGTACTTACATTACAATTGTAATGTAATGTAACATTACAATTCACCATCATGATGAATTGTAATTCAACAGTTTTTTAAACTTTGGTTCAACGATCAAGTGGCCTCGGTAGCAACAAATGCAAAAGAATTAAAGCCATATTCGTTACATAATAAACTAAATCTAATAAACTCAAGACGATAATAATAATTATCATTATTATAATTTAAAATAATTATGATTATAAATATAATATATAATTATGATAATTATTATCCCTTAAAACGTTCATTCTGCTTTCTTATCTTAATAAGAGTTTCTCGAGATAAACTGGTGAAAAATTTAAATAGTTTGGTGGATCTGTTTCCGATATAACTAGAAAAAAATAAAAATGACGTCACATGATAAAAATTATTATTATTATTATGAAGCTTTTTCATTTGTTTGTGTAGTGTTTTTTGTATGTGTGTGATAAAGAAAAAGATAAGTGTGGTTCGTATTTGTGTCACTTTTGATGATGATGACGACGACGATGATGATTATACTGCAATAGCCGAAATAGCTCAGAACATAAAGAATAAATGGACGATTGAACGAAGAAAAGAAATGAGCAATTGCAATGATTGTTGAGTATCATTGGCGTAAAATGCTTTTGGTCATCGTAGCTGCTAAAACAAGAAGTCTGAATTTAAACAAGAAGTTGAATGCTATCTCGATATGGAATCGTTGGATAGACTCAAATGAATGTATGAAAGTCATTTATAGATAATGAACTTGCACGCAACACACACACATACATCCACAGACACAAACACACACACATACATCCACAGACACACAAACCACACACATACATCCACAGACACACAAACACACACACATACATCCACAGACAAACACACGTACAAACACACACACACACACATACATCCACTGACAAACACACATACAAACACACACACACACATACATCCACAGACACATACAGGCATGCAAAAACAATTACCGTGATTTGTGAGGTCTTTCCATTCAGAATGGCGCCTAGAATGTGTTGAACCAATGATGATGATGATGATAATGGTGATAATGACGATTATTATTACTATTATTATTATTATTGTTGTTTTTATTAATAATATTACAAACTTAAATTGTCTAGATGAATGAAATGTAATGAATGAATGAATGAATGAATGGACAGAATAAATCCCTGCATGGATGAATTAATGTTTGAATGAATGGATGAACGAATAAACGAACAAATAAAAGAGTAAAATGATGCTTATGATTGAAAGAATGAAAAAAACGATTGTTTATGTTAGTGTTGTAAATCATCTGCTATATTTTGACAGCTATTCAGTTTAACATTGTTCGCTTGTTCGTATCAACGTTTCCTCCACTCATTTTTTGTTCGTAATTCATTCATTCACTCGTTCATTCATTCGTTCGTTAGTTCATCCATTCGTTCGTTCGTTCGTTCATCTGTTCGTTCGTTCGTTCGTTCATACATCAATAGTTCCAAATTAGAAACATATATATGTACGTACAAAATGACATTTACAGATTATTTACCGTTGTCTAAAATACATCGTTAATTATTATCATCATTATGAAAAGTAGTAGTAGTAGTATTTGTAATAGTAGTAGTAGAGTATTTGTAATAGTAGTAGTAGTAGTAGTACTACTAGTAGTAGTGTCATCATCATCAATACCATCATCATCATCACCACCACCATCATCATCATTGTACCACGGTCTTAAAAGCATTATAGTCCAGTTAACATCTCATGTATCTATGTATGCATGTATGTTTGTTTATTTGCGTGTGTGTACGAATGCTTGATGGTTTGTTTGTTTTGTGCAAGTATGTGTATTTGTACATATCACACACACATACACACTCACATACACACACACACACATCCATACACACGCACACACACATACACACACACATTCACACACACATATACACACATACAAGCATACATGATACACGCATGCATAATTAAACCTGTCATTAAATCATTTAAGACAAGCACATCGTAATGGTACATATATGCAGTACCTGCAGTGGCGGACCTAGACAACTCTGACGAGGAAGGGCAAAATTTTGAAAATGTTTAAATTTTGACGAAAGAAGCCAAAACTTTCACGGCGGCGCCAAGATTTGTGGCTGGTGTGGCTGGTGTGGTGGCTGACGACCTTTTTTGGGTCGATTTTAAAATAAAACGGCCCTTTTTCGACTTTAATTAAAAAAATTGCGTCTCAGTAGCTGCAGTGGTTGTGGTTTCGTAGTACTAGTATCAACATTTGTAGTAGTAGTAGTAGCAGCAGTGGTAGTAGTAGCAGCAGAAGTAGTAGTAGTAGTATTAAAGGTGGTAGTAGTAGTAGTTGTAGTTGTAGTAGTAGTGTGTATACGTGACTGAATGACGATAGTCCATTGTTATTCAGCAACGAAGTTTGAAATTTACAGCATTACACACACAAACACATTACACAAAAAATGTCGTTGTTTCTGCTAGCTGGTTATGTAGTTGTTGTTGATGTTGTAGTTGATGTTTTCCTTGTTGTTATTGTTGATGTTCTTGCTGTTGTTGTTTTTGTAGAAGCTGGGTTAGAGCTGAACTATATTGTTGTTAATGTTATGGTTGTTGTCTGCATAAAGGAATATGCTGATGGCAATAATTTTATTTAAGCTGTCTGCAAAATAAAAATCTTACATGGTTGTGAAAGTAATTACATCAATAACAATAACAACAATAATGGTAACAACAAAACAGGGTTATTATTGTCATTATTTATTATTATTATTATTATTATTAACAAGGATAATTACGATTGATAATTATTATAAATAATTATCGAGAGAGCAACGCTAAACTTAAAACCATTACAAAATTAAATATGAAAGCCCTTCTTGTTGCTTTTAAACGCCGATTTCATCGTCGTCATCATCATCTTAACATCATCATCATCATCGTAGCATCATCATCATCATCGTCGTAGCATCATCATCATCATCATCGTAGCATCATCATCATCATCGCAAGCACAGGCCATGGTACACACATATAAGACTTTTTTTTGTTTGTTTTCCACCTAAAAATAACTTCTCTCGACCTACATTTCTCAACGCCTATTGGTCGATTACGTTTAAATGTTTATATTTTTATTTGGGTCAGCCAATGAGAAGCTGTTCAGGTACTTTAAGCCCCGCCTTTGGGTGGAGCCTACGTTGAAACAATGCAATTTAAAGAGGATCTCTATTAATTTCGTTGGATTGCGTCGGGATGGAGATTTTCTGAAAAAAATTATTTCATAATAAAAATAATAATAATAATAATTTATTATTATTATTATTGCTATTTTTGTTATTATTGATGTGTGTGGTGCGAAGTTATGAGAGGTTATTTTTTGATTATTATTCAATTTTATCAATTTATTTTTTTGATTTAATTTTGTTTTGCAACTTTGCAGTGTGTGGTCATATGAAATATAATGAAATATCCTCAACTACTACTACACAACATCAACAACATCAACAACACTAACAACATCAACAACGACGTTTTTCAAATGCTTTCTTCCGTTAACATCAACAACAACTTCAACAACAACAGCAACATCATCAACAACAACATCAACAACAACAACAACAGCAACAACAACAGCAACAACAACAGCAACATTAACAACAACATCATGGGCCCCGAAAGCCCGTTTGAGAAAAACATCAACCAATTAAAATTGGGCGAGCCCAGCAGAAAGTACGCCATCAACAGCACCGGAAGTAGCAGTGGCAGCCTAACAAGCCCTGATCACCTGGAGAAACCCAATTTCGCCCTCATCACATCTTCCTCATCAACCTCATCACCATCGTCATCATCATCGAACACCATCATCACCACAAACGTGTCTTCAACACCTTGCTGCCTACCACTCGGCTGCCTCAAATTTTCAGCTGAAGATTCCGTATTCCTAGATCAACAACAAACCACAGCCACAGCTGCTGCTACTGCAAATGACGCCATAGCGTCTGGGAGCCACGACATCGCAGCAGCGTCGAGCGCTTCTTGTAGTAACAGTGGCAACGGCAAGACAACAGCAGCTCCAGGTAGCATCCTCAACAGCGTCGTGACTCTGTCGTGCGACAACCCGACGTGTTGCGAGAACAAGTGGATGCACGTTGAGTGCTTCAGAGAGTGGCGAATGCAGTTGATGCAGCTGCTGACGACCACGGGGCAGCAGCAGCAGAAGGGGGCCCAGGGCATTGGAGGAGGAGGTGTTTGCGGAGGCAGAACCAGGCACTGGTCGGATCATAAGCAGCCGAGCCAGAACTCTTTCCTCATCAAAAAGGTTTCTATCACACCATAATAACAATCATACAAACATTGTCTTCACTGATACATACACAGCAATAATGCTACTATTACCCTTTTCAACGTATTCGCTTTTTGGACCTTTTAGTTTTCATTTTAAATCAACTTTCTGATCTTTGAGGAGTCACTCAGAGCTCCCTGCCTGCAGAAATATGATTATAACCGGCAGGCATATTACACATAGCTAGCTATACGTATTCATTGCGTCAGTATATTGGATCTCACTAAAACGTTAGGCTTACTTAATTATGGAATCAAATGAGGATGATGTTATCGAGGATGACGAAGATGAGGATGGTGATAAATATGTGCGCGTGTGTGTATGCGTGTGTGTGTGTGTGCGTGTGTGTATGTGTCCTTTTATGGTTTTTCCAAATATAGAAAGAGCAGTATGTCTAAGGTATGGTTACATAATCGAATGTCATCAGCGCTCGGTCATTCAAACGTTACGAAATATCAAAAAGTTTGCTTGCCGTTGGTATTGTTTTTATTATTTTTATTGTGATCTCATCGTCTGGGATGTTGTTACGATCATCATCATCATCGCTATCATCATCATCGCCATCGTCACCTCCTGCTATTTTAATCACTTTCATTATCACTTTCACCGTGATGGTCACTAATCATCTTCGTCATCATCATCATCATCTCCATTACGATCATCATCATCAAAACCACCACCACCATCATCGTCATCGTCATCGTCATCATCATCATCCTCTTCTTCATATACATAGATATTCATAGACTCTTACATGCATTAAGACCACTTGAGCCAAATTGTGGATACGGTTCAATGTTATTTTTTAAAACAACGTTGCAGTTAACTGATAAAAAAATGAAAAAAAAAATAATAATAAAAATAATAATATCACAATAAGATAAGAAATAGAAAGATAATTGTGTGTATTTTTAATTTTGTAATTGTGATAATTTTTATTAACATATGAAATGGAAAAAAATCCAAAATGATATGCAAATGCATCATTATGAGCAAGCAAACAAACAGGTGAGATTATTTGTATGTGTGTGTGTGTGTGTGTGTACGTGTGTGTATGCGTATGTACGAGTATATGTGTACGTACTTTAAACAAAGAAAATTTCACTTTCTTTGTGCTCCTCTATGTTTCAACGATGCATGTACAAACATATACAAACGCATGCACACTTGTATCAGCTATGTTTGTTTGTATATATTAATGTTTGTGTATTTATGTGTGTGTGTGTATCGGTATGTTTGTATGCATGTAGGTGTGTGTGTGTGTGTGTGTGTGTATAGATGTGTTTGTATGTGTGCTTATATGTATGCACGTGTGTATGTATGTATGTGTACGTGTGCAATTTCATGTATATCATTATGTATAGTTGCATTATACAATACCTTAGAATACCTGGGGGGAGAACACATAAAACTGACAACTGCTGTTTCATCTCAGAAATATTATCTATCCGAATCGTGTGAAAAAGTGAGAGAGAAAGAGAGAGAGAGAAGGTAGAAGGAAAAGAAAGAGAGAAGGTAGAAGGAAAAGAAAGAGAGAAGGTAGAAGGAAAAGAAAGAGAGAAGGTAGAAGGAAAAGAAAGAGAGAAGGTAGAAGGAAAAGAAAGAGAGAAGGTAGAAGGAAAAGAAAGAGAGAAGGTAGAAGGAAAAGAAAGAGAGAAGGTAGAAGGAAAAGAAAGAGAGAAGGTAGAAGGAAAAGAAAGAGAGAAGGTAGAAGGAAAAGAAAGAGAGAAGGTAGAAGGAAAAAAGAGAGAGGAGGTAGAAGGAAAAGAGAGGGAGACAAAAAAGAGTGAAAGCAAGAGAGAGAAGAGAATTTTCGAGATGAATTCATTCATCTGGCAGTGTCTTTCATCTTTTTATGCAATAATAACGTGAATGCGATACAAGTATTTTTCTCCATCAAGTGATTGAATATTTGCCTAAAAAAATTCAAATGGCGAAAGAAGAGATTGAAAAAAGAACAAGAGAGAGAGAGAGAAAGAGAGAAATTAAGACTGAAAGTCAGTAACACGGAGGTAAATAGTACATGTATGCAATGATGTATCTGTATCCACCCATGGGTTTATATTACATTTATATACTGACGGAGAAATTTGAATAATATTTTTTTTTATATGTGTATATTAATAATTATGCTCACTCATTCAATAATTTTCTCATTCATTCATTCTTTCATTCAATCTGCATTTTCCTTAATTTATTCATTTACTTATTAATTCACCAATTCATTCTTTCATTTATTTACTCACTCACTCACTCACTCGCTCACTCACTCACTCGCTC